CTGCCAATGCTTATCGGAAGAAGCTCGCGCCAAATGCTTTCGTTCTTGTTCCTTCTCGTGAACTGTGTCAACAGGTGCGTTTACTTGCTTCAATTTCTATCATCCTTTTTTTATTTATTTTAAATTTGGATAAATTAATTCCGTTTTGTTATTATTTTTTTAATCTAATATTTCAGGTATATAAGGAAGTGCTGTCGCTCATTGAGTTATGCAGAGTTCAGCTGAAAGTTGTGCAGTTGAATGGCAACATGCTTGTTAATGACTTGGTTGGTTATGGCTTCAGAAATCTCGTTTGTTTGTTGTTTTTGTTTTATGGAGAAAGTTAAATAGTTAATTTCTGCACCTGATACACGTGTGGACCACACGTGTGCATTGATGTAATTTTCTTTAATTTGGGTTTGCAGCGGGCAGCATTGGCTGGACCCCCTGATGTTTTGATCTCCACTCCTGCTTGCATTGCGAAGTGTTTGTCCAGTGACGTACTGAAGGCGGCATCCATTAACCAATCGCTTGAAACTCTAGTTCTAGATGAGGTGAAATCAAATATAGTGATTTGTTTCTTTAAAATCCTTATTTATTGTTAGCTGTCTATTTCTGAAACGACTATCATTTTGTTTTGTCGTGTTGAATTATATTCATACGGCAATTGCATTTTTGAAATGTACGCAACTTTGTGTCCAAAATATTGTTGGGTTTAATGGTGTTCGTTGATTTGCAATTTTCATGTTTTGGTTCATTTTTAATTTATTAATGATGACTCAAGTTGCTGATGAACAGTCCTTGTTTGCATTTGGTTACATGATTGGTATTCAAAATAATGTTTTCAGGCAGATCTTCTATTATCATACGGCTATGAAAGTGATATAAAAGCTTTTACACCACACGTTCCCAGAAGTTGCCAGTGTCTTCTTATGTCTGCAACATCAAGGTGTGTTATTTTTGGTGTTTCTTCTACATTTGATATTTTTCCGTGTTTTCTGTCATTTTCAAACCTCTCTCTCTGTATATATATCACAAGCAAATAGCTTACAGTAATACAAGTTACATTCACATTTACACCATCAATAGTTTTATATAAAATGTTTTCCATTGATCTGACCATCGAATTATAATCTTATATTACCTATATTGTTTGTATCAAGTCTTGTTACAATTGAACAAAAATAAGAAAACAATCAAATGGTTCTTATTTTCGTGTTTTAAATAGATTCATTATGTTAATTTGATGTGCATAAATGAGATTCAAAATAATTTTGGATTAATCTAAAATTTCACACATATGATCCATATTATAATTTTTTAGTCCAATGGAGTCTTGGCATAAAATTATCTAATAAAAAGTTATTGAATGGTATTAGAGTGAGTATAACTTACACTAGTAATCAATTTGTACTCTATATTAGAATATACTTGCTTCGTGTTTCTTTATACGAGTTAATATGAAACTGAAAACAAACACAATGATATAAAGTTATTAAATGGTATAAGAGTGGGTGTAACTTACACTAGTGTAAGCCTTCTAGTTTCTTTATTAGTTAATATGAAACTGGAAACAAACACGAGGGTCTTTCTTGCACTTTTGAAGATTATATTGTATGCTAGATATGGAGGAAACAAAGTATTATCTCTGTAAAGTTTTACTGGCTCAAGTGTTTTGCTGTGTATCAGTGTATGGTCGTTGACCAACCAATGGCATTATTTTAGGATTTGGCTTACATATACAATGTCCATTTTGTTAATCTCTCATCTGTTGTATTGATTTGTTTCAAATATGCTGTATGCAGCGCGGATGTTGACAAATTAAAGAAGTTGATTCTACACAACCCCTTTATTTTGACTTTGCCTGAAGTTGGAAATCATAAGGATGAAGTCATTCCTAAAAATGTTCAGCAATTTTGGGTAATACATTTCTACCTGTCTTCTTGACACTATGGAGTTAATTGTGGTTGAGTTAATTCTTCACTGTATCTTCAAAATTTTTGCGCAATTTATTTCTACAGAGAAAGGGGGTTTACTGTTTTTCTATATTTGGAATCTATCTTCTTCATTGATACTAAAAGGAAATGGGCCATTCTGGCAAGGTAAAGTTTGATTTAGAGGGAGAAGGGTTTTAACACTTGAAATAAAAATGTCATTTGAATTAGTGGTCCTGATTTTTATTTTATTTTTTTGAATTTAAATCTTTGATATTGATATGTTTTCCCCAAGAGCGTGTTTTAAAGCTATCACTTTGAACATTAGGCTGTGTTTTTATTCCATTTTATTTAAATATTATTTTTTGTTTTCATTTATTTCTGTATCTTTCTGATTCAATACTTTTTCTGTGAAATTGACCAGTTTTAACTGTTTCCATTAAATTTTTTTGTATCAGATCTCATGCCCTGCCAGTGATAAGTTGCTTTACACCCTTGCTCTGCTGAAGTTGGAGTTGGTCCAAAAGAAAGTTCTGATATTCACTAATACCATTGACATGAGTTTCAGACTGAAACTATTCTTGGAAAAGGTATGTGTTTGATATATAACTATCATAAGCCTTCACTTGATGAGCTTTCAGCTTTAGGTATGTGTTACATATACAACTTTTCATGTGGACCCATGCATTGTTTACGCATCAAGCCCTCGTGTTAAAAATAAGCCTCTTTTTTTTTAATGCCTAGTCCTACGTGAAATGGGTATTTTTACATCATTTTTTTTCTTTCTATTTGATTTGTATTTATTTTCATACACTATCAGTTTAATGGATAATAATTAATAAGCACTTTTATGCCCTAAATTTCCCCTTCTATATATCTGCTTGTAATGTTTTGGATTAAGTTTTGAATCAAATTTGAAAATCCTGAAGCAGATAGTATTTTTAAGTTAAAGTTTCTTCTAAAAAAAATTAATTCTTCCTCTCATTTATCCTTGTAGTTTGGGATCAGATCTGCTGTTTTAAATCCTGAGTTGCCTCAGAATTCTCGTCTCCATATTCTTGAGGTATGCAATAATATCCAATTCCTTTCTTTTGGTATGATAACTGCTAAGATTTTTTCTACTTAACCTGATGCTACAGAAGTTTCCAGCCAACGAAGCATGGGTAGTTTATGTTTTCTTCAAAATATGATTTTATTATCAACTCATCATAATTTATGGATCAGCATTTTCTCACGTGATTTTGACAAACCTATTTTTATCAGGAATTCAATGCTGGCCTATTTGATTATCTAATTGCAACAGATCTTAGCCAGTCAAAGGAAAAGGATGAAGAGACCAAAGAAAGTAATGTTGGATCACGGAAGTCTAGAAAACATGCTAAAATAAAATTAGATTCTGAATTTGGAGTTGTAAGGGGGATTGACTTTAAAAATGTATACACGGTATGCAAGTACTCTCTTATATCTATCTGTAGTATGTTAATGTCTTCTGTTGACATGTTTGAAATTGTTGCACTTGCACTGCATATGTGCCTTTTTTGGCAAGAATTGTATACTTTGTTAATTGGTAATTTCATCTTGTTTTATATCATTGTGCCCTTCCCGGTTCACCGAAATCAAGTAGTTAATGCTTTCTCTTGTTGATAAACAGGTTATAAACCTTGAAATGCCTCAGAGTCTTGCGGGATATGTACATCGAATTGGCCGTACAGGAAGAGCATACAGTTCTGGTGCTTCTGTCTCTCTGGTGAGTTTCAGACAAAACAAATCCCCTTTTTCCATTCTGTAAATTCCAAAATGTTTTGTTATTTGAGTCTCGCTCTCTAGCCTGTCTAGGTCCATTGAGTATTTTATGGAGATCCTTGGTGGCACCAAGGTGCATAATCCTGGGTCATTTAGATATTCCGTTGTTTCTTCACAGGTTTCTCCGGATGAGATGGATACTTTAGAAGAAATAAGATCTTTTATTGGAGATGATGAAAGCAAAGGAACAAATTCTATCGTGGAGTTTCCCCTCACCAAGAATGCAGTTGAATCTTTACGGTACAGGGCTGAGGTGATTTATTATTTTCTTTACACTTGGTTAACTTCTTATATATTTTCCTTCAGTATTTGGCTATTAGCTTATAATTAAGAGTCCTCTAGTTCAAAAAGGAAATTATTTATTGTATGCTTCAATATTTTTAAATTGTGACCACAAAAAGGAGGAGAGAAACATTCCTTTTGTGATTATCTTGTCATTCTTGACTTGGTTAAAATTGAGAATATTGGCAAGCATCTTGCACATATTCTCATCTGTTTTTGTTTTGAATGAATAATGTACAGAGAATATATATTGCACTTTCTGTTCTTTTCTGACTTTAGGTGGATGTGATGTAATTTCGTGTAACTCGCTGCTTTTGCAAATGATAATGGTGATTGGCTTTCTCTTGCAGGATGTCGGGAAGAGTGTAACTAAAGTTGCTGTCCGAGAGTCACGAGCGCAGGATTTGAGGAATGAAATTTTGAACTCTGAAAAGTGAGTGCCTCGTATAGCATTTGGTATGGGATTACAGTGAGAACTGTAACTATCATCTTAAGTTTATTCCCTTTCTAATTCATTGCTGCCCACGTGCTTTTATTTTAGGTTGAAAGCCCACTTTGAAACTAATCCAAGAGACCTAGGTAACGTAATTGGTTGATATTGTTGTTAAAGTATAATAATTGTGTCTATATATATATATATATTTCAAGTTGAATTTAAAGAATTGAAATGGTATTTGACCAGATCTACTGAAGCATGACAAAGTATTGAGCAAGAATGCTCCTCCACCGCACCTACGTAATGTGCCTGACTACCTATTAGACAAAACAACGAAAGAGGCAAGGGAAATGGTCAAGCTTGCAAGGGATGCAATGGGAAATAATAATCGCCGCAGAGGATCCAAGAGAAAATTAAGAAAAGATGGAGATCCTCTAAAGGCTATCGCTGCTGTGGTATGATTAACCTATTTTCATGGATTTTACCTTACTTTCATGCAAATTCTAAATCTTTAATGGTTATTATGACTTATGAGTGAGAGAAGGGGCTTATACAGAGGAGGGAAAATGAGGGGATGGAGAGAAAAATTTGTACGGATGCATATAAAATATAAATGTAATGTTGCACGTATCTAAAGATAATGCTTTTAGTTGTTACTTTTTTTTTCTATAATATTTATAAGTATTCTGCATGACTTCAATTACATTTTTTGTCAGGGATCAAGAAGACGGCACAAAGATAGGAAGACTGGTGCAAGCAATAGCAACAATAGCGGTGCTAAACATAAACGCAAAAAAAATGATATTTGATTGATTTGCCCTTACAAAGCCTTATAACAGGCTCAATTTTGTTGTAATTTAGTTCCAAATGTCGTAAATCAAATTAGTAAAGTATTGTAATTGTTTTTCCCTTCATATCTTGTAGAACAAGAAGTTATTATTTCTCTTTCCAAAATTAAATTTTGCTCATTGAAACTATGATTTCGCTTTCGTCCATATATTGCATGTGAATCTCGTAATGCTGACAGTAGAATATCTTTCTTTACCATTCCAAATTGGAGTTGAATGTGACCAAGTCATTTTTTTCTTCTTCAATAAGTTGTAAAATGGATATGTTAAAAATTGGTTACTAGTGGCATTAAAAGCTGGAGGAAAAAGTTCTTCATAACATAAAAGGATTCATTCTACATTATTAAGCTGCTCATTTATAACAAATAAGTACATTAAAAAGTAACATACAAGATATGTTAGATAACAAATAAGTACACACACATATATTAGATAATTCAACATCTTCTATTATGAAATGAGGTTATTAGGCACAAGATGGAAAATTATTATTTGCATGTTGCTCTTCTAAAACCGTTGACACATTCTTTATACTTTAAGCTACCTTAAGAGTATTATTCTTACAAGTATGTGCTTAATTACGTGTTTTGAAATAATTATGCTCTAAAATGTTTATTTTTAAAAATAATCCAGCTCATTCATTATGAACAAATGTATTTTCTGTTCTTATTTTTGAAGAATATTTGGTTTTTAAACTAATTTTTTAAAAATAATCTAAAAATTTGATTGAAATGAACTAACAACTGACGTTATTATCTACTTAGACATTCCATGAATAGTAAGTTTGTTAAATTTTTAAATAACTTTTAAATTCTATACATATAATAATATTTAATTCATCGACAATATAAAAAATTTTATACCTCAATATACCTCAATCGATATGTATCATTAAAACATGATTAGTTAATAACATAACTAATCATATTTAATATAAATTTTAATTAAATTATTATTAAAATGTATAAATTTACCATATTTAATAAATTTTTTTATTATATGACATAACTTTTACATTATCCTTGTATAGCTTATTTATTCAAAATCTTTACACCAAAAACTAGACTCAATCTTTACTAAAGACAATCTTGTCAATACTCTTTATTATTCATTAAAATTATAATTTTTAATGAATTCTATCACTTAATCATAATAAAGACTCCTTAATTAAAATACAAAATTTATTAATTATGTAATTTTTAATGAATTCCATCCCATATAAAAAGAGTATTAATAAAGGAGTGTTAGAGATATATATTTTTTTCTTTTTCTAACTTTCCTTATCTAATAATCCATTATTGTTTATGGACTAGTTATAGATAACATATTATGGATTACCAATACTAAATCAAAAAAATTTCCAATCCCAACTAACTAAATAGATATTGTGTAATAAAACAATCAAATATAAACCATTAAAATTTATTATAATTTTTTGATAATTATTTTTAATGAAAACATATTTTTAAAAATATTATTAAAAAACAGTTTCTATTTTTTTTACATTATTATTTTTAAAAATATTCTTAAAAAACAGTTTTTTTATTTTTTTATTTTTTATTTTTTTATGATAACAGTTTCTAATTCTAATTCGCAGTCTCCCCCTCAGATATACGAAAATTAAACTGTTTTGAATGAAATCGAATAATTAACTTTTATCTTTTTTACCGTTCGAGTTGCAGACGCATGAAGGTATCACCCCTCTCATGCCATCGTTTAATGTTTGTAAGCTTTTTTCAATTCTCTTATCCCACACTAAGCAACTGTCTCCATTCCAACACTCACCGACGCCGCCGCCGCCGCTGCAACTTCAATCCCCGAACAGTCACGCAGCAGCAACCGCTCTCGCGCGTTCAACTCACTCGCAATTCACTTCCTCTCTCGTCGCCACAGTGAATAAATAGGGTTTGTTCCGTTCCCTCGCGCTAGAAGCTAGGGTTTGTCACTTTCCATGGATCAGGCGCGATCGGCGAACGGCGAGGAGAATGCGGGAATTCCCGATGACCTGCGGTGCAAGAGGTCCGACGGGAAGCAGTGGCGGTGCACGGCGATGTCGATGCCGGACAAGACGGTGTGCGAGAAGCACTACATCCAGGCGAAGAAGCGCGCGGCGAATTCCGCAATGAGGGCGAATCTCAAGAAGGCGAAGAGGAAGTCGCAGTCGATGTCTGATAACGTTTATTTGGAGAGTAAGAGCGACGATTTCGACGTTCCTCTTTCCTCCATAGGTCATTCTCACAAGAAGCTCTCGAAGAACCAGTTTCGTTACACGCCCGGGCGGAGAAACTCCTCTGTGAGACGCGCTCACAGCAACAACGATGATGACGTGGACGTGGATGTGGATGTGGATGAGGATGTTGATGTGGATGCGGATGTGCATCTGTATGAAGAAGACAATTGGATCTCCTATGATTCCCCGCCGGATTCTTCTCGGAAGAGGTCGCGGAGGAGCTTGGATGCTAATGCCACCACTGTGAGTTGAGTTTGGGTTCTCTGATTTTGATGCTAGTGTAGTGTACTGTAGTGTGCTAAATTTGGAAGGTTGTGTTGTGTCGCAGGAATATTCCGATGGAACCTCGGGCTCTTCTGACGACACCGGCGGCCAGACTTGTCATCAGTGCCGGAGGAATGACCGGGACCGAGTTACTTGGTGCCTACGGTGTGATAGGAGGGGATACTGTGATGGCTGTTTATCAACATGGTGAGCATGGAATTTTGGCTTGCCTGATTGGATAAATTTATCTATAAGCACTTAGGACATGTTTAGATAAGCTTCTTTAGGAACACTTCTAGGAGAAAAATAGAAAGGAAAATTGAAAAAGTTTTTTCACAATTTAAAATTAAGATATTGGATAAATAGAAAAGAACTTATACATATTAGTTTTAACTTATGGAGAAACTCATTTCATTCTTCCTTCTTATTTTTCTCTTCTAGAAGTGCTTTTGAAAAAGTTTATCCAAACATGCCCTTATAAGAGAAGAAAATTTGAAGGGAAAATGAATTGAACTTCTCCTATAAGCAAATTAACTAATGTACTTCAGATTTTGGAGAAATTACATGAGAAGAGTTTCTATAAAAGTGAAGTACATTAGATAATTTTAGCTTATGGGAGAAACTCGGTTCATTTTAGTTTTATTTTCTTCTTCAATAACTGCTTATGAGAAAGTATAAAAACAGGGAGTAGTGATAAGTGATAATTCTTTCAGTTGGATGGTGATTATTGTTAGTTATGGTTTACTTGTTTTTAGGTACTCGGACTTTTCAGTGGATGAAATTAAGAGGATATGTCCTGCTTGCCGGGGTATATGTAATTGCAAGACTTGCTTGCGGAGTGATAATTCGATAAAGGTATTTGAGTGTTGCTAGCTTAGAATTCAATGAGGCATGCAGTTGAAGTTTAGCATTTGTAATATCTTTTTCCTGTTTGTGAAATTTCTGGTTTTGCTGGGATTTAGGTTCGGATACGAGAGATACCTGTTCTCGATAAGTTGCAGTATCTCCATGTGCTGCTGTCGTCGGTGCTTCCAGTAGTAAAGCAGATCCACCATGAACAGTGTTTTGAAGTTGAACTTGAAAAGAAGTTGCGTGGTATGGTTCATTTTAAGATATAGATTTAAATATGTTTTTAGTCCCTTAAATCTAAGGTAAATTTATTTTTACTCTCTCAAATTTAAAATTGATCTGTAATTTCAAAAAATTATGTTGTTAGTCCTTATACTCAATTTTTTTAGGGAATTTGTCAAATATTGTCGTACAAAATTTACATACTAATGTTTCTATTAGTGAAAATATAACATTAAATACAGCTAATGTTACATAACTGTTCCAATTTTCACTTTCAGATGTGTTGTTAGTCACTTGAGGGACTAAAACAAGATTTTTAAAAATTATAGACTAAAAAAAATAATTTAAAATTTGATGGACCAAAAATAAATTTAGCTTAAATTTGAGGGACTAAAAACACATTTAAGCGTAAGATTTATTTGGGTTTGCTTCCAGCTTTGTATTCTTAGTGGTGGTTATCTATGTTACTTTGCTTTATGTGTGGTGAACAAGTATTTGATGATGTTTTCAAAATGGTTTCCCTCTCAGGTGCTGAAATAGATCTTCCAAGGATAAAATTGAACACAGATGAGCAGATGTGCTGGTACGTTTATAACCAATTTCATAGAATTGTTGGTTTTAGTTAGTGCTGAAGCATTATGCATATGTTCCTTATTCATGGATAGTATAGGGATCATTAATTATTTTGATTTGTTTTCTTGCAGCAATTTCTGTAGGATACCTATTACTGATTATCATCGTCGCTGTCCAAGTTGCTCATATGATTTGTGCCTTAATTGCTGTCGAGATCTTCGAGAAGCAACTGCAGACCGCAATAAAGAACCCCAAACAGAGCAAGCAAAAACTTCTGATCGAAACTTATTAAGTAAGTTTCCTCATTGGAGATCCAATGACAACGGAAGTATTCCATGTCCCCCTAAGGAGTATGGTGGATGTGGTTATTCATCATTAAATTTAAGCCGAATTTTCAAGATGAACTGGGTTGCAAAGTTCGTGAAAAATGTAGAGGAAATGGTTAGCGGCTGCAGAATTAGTAATGCTGATGGTCCACCAGAAACTGGGCTGAATGCTCTCAGTCTTTGCCAGTATTCTCATAGAGAATCTAGTGATGATAATTATCTTTATTGTCCAGCATCTGACGATATCAAAACTGATGGGATTGGAAATTTTAGAAAGCATTGGAAAACTGGGGAGCCCATTATTGTGAAGCAAGTATTTGATGGGTCATCCATTTCAAGCTGGGATCCAATGGTCATATGGAGAGGGATTCTAGAGACAACAGATGAGAAAGCGAAAGATGAAAACAGAATGGTTAAGGCCATAGACTGCTTAGATGGGTCTGAGGTACACATCTATACCTTAACTCTTTTTAGTGATTGGGATTCTGTTGGTTTTATCTATTGCACTGTGTTTTTGGTTCATAATCTATGCTAAATTTCTCTGCATTATGGCTGCAATTTATTATTTTTATATTGACAGATTGATATTGAGCTCTCTCGATTCATGAAACGATACTTTGAAGGGCATATTCATGAAGATTTGTGGCCACAGTTATTTAAATTGAAGGATTGGCCTTCACCTATTGCATCTGAAGAATTTCTATTGTACCAAAGAACTGAGTTTATCAGCAAACTACCTTTACTTCAGTATATTCACTCCAAGTGGGGCATTCTCAATGTTGCAGCTAAATTGCCTCATTACTCCTTGCAGAATGACGTAGGACCCAAGATATATATATCTTATGGGATTAGTGATGAACTTGGTAGAGGTGACTCAGTGACAAATCTCCACTTTAATATGCGTGACATGGTATGTTACTTTATCCTCATTATGTTTTTTATAGTTTGAGTTTGAGTTAATGAAGTCATTATCAACTACTTTATGGTATTCTGGTTCCTAGACACACTGCAACTTTTTTATAATCTTGGTTCAAATTTCAAGTGTCTTAAGAATATCATTTGATGCTTCACTGTTAACTTATGTTTGGTTATGTATTTATCATGGTTATGTAGATGAGTAATTGATGTTTCTTTATAATCTGACTTCTCATATCAATATATGCAGTTTGACATTTGTAAATAATTACAAATTGTTAATAATTACAAATTCTTAATGATAAGTGTTTAATATCAATTTATAATGTGCTATTTGAATTCAAATGTCTCAACATGTGGATTGGTTACCCAAACTCTGCTAGATACTTTGCATTTGTCTTTAATATTTTAAAGTTCTCTCTCTCTCTCTGTTCTCCCTCTTATCTTGTCTAGAGTAAAATAATGGAATTTTGATTTATTCAAAGAGAAGGAAAGAAGGGGTGCTATGAGTAAAGTATCAAACAATAATTCACTGCATTTCAACAGGTGTACCTTTTGGTTCATACAAATGAAGTAAAGCTGAAGGAGTGGCAGAGAACTAAAATTGAAATGACGCAAAAAGCTCAAGCTTATAAGGAAACCGAGGTGAAAGAATCATATGGGGATACTAAAATATCTTCAAGGGGGAGTTCACCTGATTCATCACTTGGTACAAAAAGTAGTGTACTGGATATGGATTCAAACCAGAATAAGTCCATTATGGATCAAGGGTTTGAAATTCATTCTAGTGGTGAAGGTCATATGGTCAATTGTAAACTTCCGTTCACACAAAATGGAGATGTCTCTGAGAAAACACATCCTGGAGTTCTTTGGGATGTTTTTCGTCGGCTGGATGTTCCAACATTGACTAAATATTTGAGAATACATTGGAAGGAATTTGGGAAGTCAGATGATGTAGGAAATGAATTTGTAAGTCTTCAAAAAAAAAAAAAAATTACATTGCTTCCCCTTTTTTATTTGTTAATTAACTAGTTTTGATTTTTTTTATTGCTGATGGTATTCTCTGGATTCAAGGTTGCATTGCCCCTTTATGATGGAGCTATTTTTCTTGACAAACACCATAAAAGAAAGTTGAAGGAAGAATTTGGTAAGATCTTATCTTTTTCTTTCTTTGAATTGTTAAGAGCTAGATATAGAAGTGGTATAAGTTAGTTTGACATTGGTGGGATTACATAGGATTTTGCCTTGCCCTTGTGAGCTCCATCCATCACACCCCCTAAGTTGACTAAATCTTGTAGAGCTTATTTAAATGATTGTAATGAAAGAGATTGAAGGGGAACGGAATAATTCCCCATTTTTGAGAATAGAATTTTTTTTGACTGGAAATGAATATGGGAGGACAATTCCCCTCTCATTCCCCTAGTATTTAGATTTTTTGATTGATGCAGTAGGAAGGGATGGTCATAAATTCTGGTTTGGATGTTTAAGTAAAGGAAACGAGTTGTTGTCCTAGTTTTCGAGGTAAGTGGAATAAAAAGGGGGTTAATTGCCTTCCCCTCGTCAATTTTTTTTACAAAAGTTTAAGTCAATTCTCCAGTCCCTTCTCCCTCCCATCAAACATTGCATAAATCTCTTACGTTTACATATTGAAATTTTGCACTTTCAAACTTTTTTTTATATAAATTTACTGGTATAAGAGAAGATAGTGGGCTCTTGTATAAGGCCTCATTGTCGCTGAGAGTGATTTTCTCATGTGTACTGTTTATTATTGGAAACTTAGTACTGATGTGCTAAATTGTGGGAAACCCTAGAAATATCTGCATGCAATTAATTTCATTTATCTTCCTTTTTAATGGGGATTAGTATCTTCCTAAATAGGAGTGAAGCCTTGGCATTTGAACAGAATTTGGGGGAAGCTATATTTGTTCCTGCTGGTTGCCCTTTCCAAGCAAGGAATGTTCAGGTGAGTTCATTTATCTCGTCAGTTCACTTCATATACTAATTACTAAATAGATGACCTTCATAGTTTTATATCCGTTACTTGAACCACACAAAGGTGACCATTATTAATATTATCTCTTTAGGTTTTTTGAATATTTAATCTAGTAACTGAGTTACTGAGTTGATATTTAATCTAGTAACTGAGTTACTAAAAGTGATATTCTATGAATATTTTACTTTTTTGAATATTTTTATTGTAATTACATTGATGTTCCTACCCTTTTGATATAGAAATGACACCAACCTGCCTTACCAACAAGAGGCAAGTTAAGTTATATGATATGGAGGTCAATGTATTATGTATCATATTCTAAATCTTCTGAATGACCAGAAATCTCTTAACTAAAGGAATCAACTCTTTGGAAATTAAAAATGCTTTTATAAGCTTTAATTAATTTATATTGCATATCTTTTTGAACTGATTTGTTTATTTACTTTGGTTTGATGAATTAAAGTGGAATTTTTTTTTAATTTTTTATGGAAACAATATGGATTCTCAACTGGTCGAATTTCTCATAGTATGTATAATCAATTTCTATATTTCAGTCCAATGTTCAGTTGGGCCTTGATTTCTTATCTCCGGAAAGCCTGGGTGATGCTGTAAGATTGGCAGAGGAAATCCGTTGTCTACCTAATGAGCATGAAGCAAAGCCTCAAGTATTGGAGGTCAGAATAGAGAAAAATTACTTTTAATTATTAAGTTTTATTTCTTGTTGCCAATTGCGCCTATCCCTATTTTAAAATGCTTGTGTTCATATTTTATTTTTTATTAACCTGTTAGTGTTGGTGCGTACTTCTTGAACATATATGCAGGTCGGGAAGATATCTCTTTATGCTGCTAGTTCAGCCATCAAAGAAGTTCAGAAACTTGTACTTGACCCAAAGTATGCAAATTTCACATTTGTTTTAGTCAATTGTATTAGTTCTATCTCTTTCCCAGTGCCCTTGCCCTTAAAAATGGAAAATAAACTGTTTTGCTTGACTGATGATTCTTATCCTGTGGCGTTAAGTTTTGTTCTTCATGAATTTTAGAATTGATCGGTTGTCCTGTTAGGTTCCCTGCAGGGTCAACCATAGACAGAAATGTCATGATTTTTCGTTGTTAATTGATTTTTTTTTTATTAACTGTTGTTTTGTCAGACTTGGCGCAGAGATCGGATATGGAGACCCTAACCTGACTGCAATGGTTTCTGAGAATTATGAGAAGATGGTTAAGCGGAGGCAGATTACTTGTGCTTGAACTTCCTTCCACATTCGGTTTGGTCATTGAACCCGGAAAGGGGGGTTATGTACAGTAGTTGTATCTGAGCAATATTTTATGGGTGGTGTGTTTCAGTGTTGTTTCGATCAAAATACCTAGGGAATCATTTAAATGTGTATAATAGTTACAGACGTTAGAATCATACAATGTCAAACGTCAAATCTGTATTTTATTTCAAAAGGTGGAAAAGAAACATGTAATATATAAATATACAGTGTTTAAAATTTGTTTCTGCTGTCCTTTTAGTTAAATTAAGAAATGTTTGGTAATGTGGCAACAAGCGCCCCATAGATGACACAAAAAACTAAAATTGGTTCGGTTTAGGGGACATTCTCTAGCCATGCAATTCAAAAACATAGCTTTGGAAACAAAGAAGTTACAAGATCGACCTAAGGGAAGCTTCGTTTTGAATCACTAAGTTGTGAGGCTAAACGAATTAGCAATCCTATAGAAATCTGACTTCAATCCTGGCCACTCTGATTCAGGTGCCTGAGCATTCAAAGTAAAAAGCCTACCACCCCGTGCGCAGCAAACGGAAACATTGTGTCGCCTAAACGAGGGACTTTCAACTCTGAACTCCAGTTCGTAGTATTTGGCATTTCTAACGGAATCCTCTCTCAAACTTGATTTTATCAATGTGCCCTTCACATCAGGGCGCTGCCCTGATCCTGTTATGCTTCGAACCACTGCTTCACCCACCTCATCTGGCCCTCCAAATGCTTCAATCCTAATGAAAAAGGTTAGAAATACAAGCTGTCAATCTTCCCTTTATTAACAATTTGTATCAATATACTAACGAAAAAGAGAATATCAAATGAGACATGTGGCAGATGTGAGTGGCAAACAATTTATAATTTATCGTTTATTTTTTTAATGCACTTTTTAGACCCAGCAGTTTCCACTGAAAGAAAAAAGTGAAAAGTTATTCTTTTCTTTTTAATTATATAATTCTTTTAGTCGGCCATTTGTCTGGTAATAACTAATAAAGTTAAGTGACGTGTGTGAAATTTACTAGTTCTACAGCTCAGTTGTCATCGTACTCACGAGAAATCTGGAGCAACAGATGAAACAATCACACTAACATTGAGTTCTCCACTGGAACCGGGAGGACCAAATGCAACAACCGGTTCATTGATGTTAGAACGCCGCCGTACATTTAGAGGAGGAGGATCCAACGATTGTTCCATTTCTCTTTTCTTAGCAGCTCTATACAGCAGCGTCTGATCTCCCACCCAATTTGCTGGGTATATGAATTCTGATCATCCAAATCCAAATACATACAAAAAAATGAGTTTTTTTTTCGTCTCTTATACAATGGCTTTTAATACAATAAATTTTAAGGCGAATTACCGAATCCTTCCTTTGTGTCAAAGCAACGGCTGTAGCCACCAATGGGATAAAGCAAGTCCAACTTGAGATCACGGCCACTTTGTGGAGACAAACCCAGAAGAAAACTTGTGATGCCACCAAAGTTTGCACCCACTGCCACAAGTGAAGCTGACCCAACACCCACAAGAAGCCTCCTCTGAAATTTGGTGGCTAATGGTGCAAATTCCTCCGATGGAGACCTCTCTCCATTGAATTTGAAACGATCGCCAGAACATTGCGCTACTCGAATTGGGTTCCATGCCCCAAACCTTGCTTGCACTGCCATCCCCATATACTATTCTAAATAATAGGGCCCTTGTCGTGCTATATCGATGCAAACTTTAATTTACGCCGTATACTTTGGTGGCCCCATAGTCATTGTAAGTTGTAACCTTTTTAATTAACGTCTTGCTTTGGGTTCCAATCGCAAGAAGGGATGCAAAGACAAAATAATCTAGTGGTGGATTCTGGTTCGTCGTCCATGCTGGCATCATTTTGGCTCTTCATGGGAATGGGATAGCTCTTATCTGCTTCACGTGGTTCTCATTCCTTCAAAAGATACTGTATAAATTATTAACCTTGGGCTTCAAAAATAATTTTCTAAGTATAAATATTTAACTTAAATCTATTTTTTTTAATCCATAAGAATTATAATAACAGAATTTGAACTTCTAATTATATGTATATTTCCTCACTACTAAGCTGTCCTCTCATGATTAACTTAAATTTAATTTATTCATTTATTTTTGTCATATGTTAAAAATTATTTCTCTAACATGATATATATATATATATATATATATATATATATTAAGAACTTAATTGGAGTATACTAACAATTAATGGAATTTTATATTGTCATTTAATCATATGTTGTAAAGTATGGTAAGTTTGTTGGTGTTATAATAATTATTTAAAAATTTATATTTTAATTGATTGATAATAATAATAATAAAAATTACACCAACGACGCATAAAAATTAAACTCGATATTTTAAGGAGCCACAAAATAATGCTTAGAATCATTTAAGTAAACTATAAAATTAGGTTGTGACCATGGCTTCGTCACCTTCTCTCTTCACTCATGTGAATAAGGAATCTATAGGATAATTAACGCATTCATTTAAGATTATAACCATACTTATTCACTTTAGGTTGTTTCTGGATCGCCTTGGTTTGAGTTGCTACTAAGTAAATAAGTATGTGTTGATCTAAAAAAAAAATAATAAGAGAAAGAAAATAGTGAAGAAAAGTCCATGGCCATGGGTGTGTCTAATAAAAATTAACTTAAGCTAACTAAAAAAACTTATAAGTAGGAGCTGAAAAGTTTAAAGCTTATAAGTTAATTGGTAAAATTGAAAGTGTTTGCTAAAATTATCTAATTAATGTAAAATAGTTTATTCATTTATTTTATAAGGAGAGAGACGCTAATATATACACAAAATGGCTTTTAATTAAATTAAAAAGAGTAAAACAAAATTCAAGAAAATTAATGATGATAAAGAGAGAGAAAAGAAGCTAAGAGCTTACAAGTTATAAATCACTTTTATTAGTTTACAAAAATAAATTATAAATTCTTAAAATAATTTCGTGTACCAAATAAATTTATTTTGATAAAAAAAAATTTATAAATTGATTTAAAAATATCTTCTCAAATATACTCTATTTTTAAATTTATTATGACTTTAACATGTTTAGAAAGTGCATTTCCATGTTAGTTCAAGAACTGATGCAAAAAAAAAGTATATTTGTGTTAGTCCAAGGACCGACGTAAAAGGTATTGTAGCACTACTAGTGATAGGAAGATGATAATACATGTTTTATTGTGTTTGAAGTTAAGGATTACTAATTTATCGTGTACTTTGGTAATAGTCTTCTTTTAACATGTGATTTTACATCCTTTAAGAAAAACAAATACTTGTTATAGTGTGTATCATATACAATTATTCTAATCTTTATTTTATTTATCTTTTTAACACACTCATAAAAGAAGGGCTGTTATTGGATTACTTATATATATCTAGTACTACAAACTTTAATTAGACTTAAGATTTCTAGTTCTTAACATGAAGGGGGCATTCAACATCTCACATTATCATAATAAAAACAATATAATTAAGTTGTGATATAGTTATATTTTACAAGTTAATTTTTTAAAAATTAGTTAGACTGAAATTATCGTTCTAACATAGAGAAGAGAAAAGAAGAAAATATAGAGTGAGGATAGCTAATGTGACATAGAGAAAGAAAAATGAATTATAAAAGTGTTTCGGAAATGGACATTATCCTTAATTTGAACAGAAATTTATGGGACCAAACGGTGGGTCTACACTGTTACACCGACCACTGTCGACGTTTTAATGCGTCCTCCTCTTTAGAAAGACACGTTCAGTAGTTTTCTTGCACCATTTCTATACTATATGTGGCCGAAATGAAGAGGGATTAGTCAAAGAAAAACAAGAACTTAACGACCAAACTCAGCTGAAAATTCCACCCTCTTAAAAACTTGTCTATTATTCATCACGAGGGTGCTCTTTTCAAATGCTACTCGTTGCTGAAAATGATTCGAACCCTGCGTTCTTACTAGACCAATTTCTCCAAACCTCATGATCCGGTACACTACCACTTTCCCCTTGTTGGCCACCACCATAGAAATTTCCATGTGCACCTCCACCACCACCGCCACCACCACCACCACCACCACCACCACCACCACCTCCGCCACCTATTCCCAAAAAGTCCAGAGTCATCACATCCCCATTCCCTTTACTTCCACCAACGTTAACACCACTACTCGACCCACCATTTTGTCCTCCTCCACCATTGCTTCTATTGTTCTGCTCTATGATCTTCGACAAGGCCTTGCTTTGATCCAAAATAGCATTAAACATGTCCACACCGTTCATTCCAACGCTACCACTTGCACCGAAGCTATTGTTATACTGAGGAGAAACGTTAACATCGTGTTGTCCAGCGTGCATGTAGTGGTTCATGAAGGGTTGTGAATGCGATCCATTATTTGGTTGGTGTTGCAGCACGCCGAACGACGGCGGTGCCATGTTTGTGGCGGCGAAGGTTTTTTCTGTCACCGTGGCTCCCATTTGCGCAGCTTTTTGCAGCAGCGCAGTGGCTGACATGTGTGGCGAGCCTGCAGCCAAGTTTTCCTCGAACATGTTTGAGCTTAGTTGGAGAGAGGGAGAAGAGGTTGATGAGAGGGTTCTAGTGAACATGGCAACGTTGTTGGTGTTGAAGGGTTTTGGTGGCATGAGTTCGTGTGGCAGTGATAGAGGGTGCTTGTGATCCGAATGGTTGAACTCTGAGGTTCCACTGAGGTTGTTGGGAATAGTGGTGTTGATTGGTAATGAGGATACGAGGTTTGGGATTGGTTGGCATTGCAAGTTTGGACCTATCTTTGGCAATTGTACTCCTTCGTTGCCTTTGTTGTTCTCCTCAGTTAGTGCGTCACAGAAGGCTCTGTGTGTAATGAAGCTGTCTCTTCTGCAATATCATAAACAATATGAAGCATTCAGTTAGCATGCATTAAGGAAAGAGAGTGGAGTTTGTTGAACTATGTTCCATATAAATAATGCCAAGTAGTTTTTCATGAGGACCAATATGCATGGGAATTATTATTATCAAAGAAAAAGTGGCTTGGACCAGGAATCTTTGACTGAGCCAAATAAATTTAAAATGTATCTGTGTACTTATAGTGACTTATCATTGTACACCAGAAAGACCTGGGTTCTACATATTTTCTTTATTCAAAATTATATATAGATGCTACTTGCTTATTAATTGTTGATGGTTAATCAAGGGCGGCGTGTATATGATATGTTTTTATATTATAGCTAGAGAGAAATTTCCAAGACACATGTGAAACTAATCAACCTAGAAATGGTTTATGGAAACAAATTCAAAGATGGAAAGTAATGCAAGTAGTTGATTCGTTTTTTAAGTCAACAAGGTGTGTGTGGTCAAAGAAAGACTCATCTAACATTTTATTTGTAAAGGACAGGTACTGCATGCAAGTTACGCACGAAAAACACGGATGAATATATGTAACAGATAAATGGCAGAAATACTCTCTTTATTTTGTTTAAAAAAAATCTATTGTTAGTTAAAATTTATTAACATATGTAAATTTTGGTGGGTCTTAGTTTCTTTTTTTAGCTATAAATAATTTTAACCAATGTGTTAAAATTAAGAAGTGTTGTTATGTTGTTGTATATAATATGAGTTGGAAAAGCTTTATAAACCTGGAAAAGATGGTTCCACAGTCACATTTGTATTCCCTTGTACCACAGATTTTAGAGTGGGCTTTCCAGTCAGACTGAACAGCATATTTCTTTGAGCACTTATCACATTTCCACTTCTTCTCGCCGTGCTTTCTGCAGAAGTGCTTTTTGATGCCAGTGAGATCACCGAGTGCTCTTGCTGGGTTGTGGTGGACACACGAAGGTTCTGGACACACATAAACGCGCTTTCGAACTTCTGTGCTTGTTCTCTGCTTGAGCTTCCATGGCAAGTTGTGGCCCCGTCGGTGCAACTGAAGGTTTTGGTCCCTTTGAAACCCTTTGTTGCAGATTTCACATATGAACCTGTTTGTGGCCATTAGTGTGGTTGGTGATAGAGCTATAACTTCAGCACTTGGATCTGCACACGTGCCAGTGCCAAACGGGTAACTAATAAACTCTATGCATATATAAATCTCTTGGTAGAAGCTAGCTAGCTTCACCATTAATTATTAATGTGCAATATGCACCCAAAGCAAAAAAATAATAATAGTTATTACAAGTTGATTCAACGGATATTTTCAGCTGAAGAAAGTGACAAAAAATACTTAGAAAGTGGAGATGTATAAATTTTAATAATAATAATAATGGAGGAGAAGAAGAAAAATGCTTGATATCTGATATTCTTTGTTCACATTGCAGCCACCAAGATAAGAAGAATGAAAAGAGAAATATAATTTAAATTAAAGCCAAACCCCAAGACCTCTCTCTCTTTGTCTCTTCCAACCCCTTTCATGTTTTTTGACTCATCCAGATGCAGACACAAGGAAACAAACACATAAGAATACTCACACACCACATAAAGAGTAAGAGGTGTTTCGTTTCATATATAAAAGCATATATGTGTATATATATATATATATGTGGTCCTTTATATCTTGAAACAGTTGTGAAACTAAAAACAAAGGAAACAGGAGAAGAACTAGCAGTCAAGCAAAGTCAACAGTGAACACCAATGATTGTAAAGCCATGAGAAGCAATAATTGAGCTTCTTCTTCTTCACCTACTAATTACTCCCCAATAATTCATCATTTTGGCCACCAAATTCTGCCTTAAAAACATACCCAGATCCTTCTCTTTGTTTGAAAGAACATGACTTCTAACAGATCAAGGCCTTATCATCTTAATTTCATGGAGCCTACAAATATCTTGATTAAATGTGGTTTAATTAATTAAACATGTCATCGTCCAGAAATTTTAATGTAGATTTTTTGTGGGATATCACTTTCTTTATTATATAAAAAACCCCATTTTGTGCAAATATACAACCAAACTATGCATCATTTTTAAAATCAACGAGGAGAGTGAAGAAAAATATACTTTATACACTTTTTTTTTTTCATAAATGAAAGATATATACCAGATTTTTTGTTATATTATAATCTAGGGATTAGCATGTGCAGGCCATGGATAATTAACAATATTCATCCATATATATATATATATATATATATATATGTTTGCAGCTTTAATTTGATTATCCATTTTTTAAATCTGTAAAAAAAATTGCAAACCCAATAATTAGAAAGTGTTACTTAAACTAGTAACTCTGAGAAAGCAAGACAAAAAGAGAAGAAGGAAACTAGGAAAGAATATATATATATGTAAATGGAGCTGAAAAAGAAAAAACTTTTGTAAGATGGTTGTTGGAAAAGTTACCTGGATTTCCTGGTAGGCTTCTTTTCTTCTTAACAGGTGCAGGTGGTTGTGAATTTGTGTTGGAATTACCATTGCTATTATTTGTTGTTGTTGTAGTTGAGGTATGAGAATGTGGACTATGGAACTGACCAAGTATCTCAGATTGCTGTTTAACTGCTGCATCTTCTCTGGTATTCTCTGTGGAGAAGCTCCCACTATCACAACTTGTGATGTTTGACATTGAAGGTAGCCAAAGAAAAGGGAAGAAAATATGTTCCCTTATTTAATTTACAAACAAGTGTTTGTTGTTGCAGCAAGATGAATTTTGTTGAGGAAAAAAAGGAGAGGTAATTGAGACAGAAAAGATGGGATTTGTGCAACTAGAGGAAGACAAAAACCAGGAAACTCTCCTCCTTTTATGGTGTGTAGACGAGGGTGCTTGCTGGCACAAGAATACAAAGAAACCACGCTTTGGATTTGCATTGTAATAAAAATAATATTATACTTCTTTTAGTCACTGTTCTTCCTACCTATATGTATATGCCCCTACCGTTGCTTCATATTAATGCAAAGCCCTTTGTTTTTTTTTTTTCCCATGTATAACATATTTTTTTTTGGTATTAAGAAGGGCTTGGTATATATATAGTAAACTACTTATAACATATTCATTAGTTCATCAACTCTTAAAATATGAAAGTTGATTTCATATTTTTAGGATTCATTCTTCTCAATATTAAAATAATATTTGATTAACAAAAATTATATATAAAGATTAATAAATTATCAATTTGGAAATATTATTAAAAAATTGTAGTTGAGAGAAAAAATCATATTGAAAATGATGGATTTGATTTTTTGACAAAATTGGTTATACTTTACATCAATAATATTATAATTAGAAAAAAAGAATACCGACATTACTTATATGGTTATATGGGAGAGAAGGAAAATTTATTTTCAAAAGTGCATGTGATATGGTGAAGCAAACTTTACCCAAAAATACTATAGATAGATTGAGATGCACATAAATTGATTCTCATACTTAATTTTCTGGTGTTGTTGAAAGTAGTTAGTGGTATAAACCCCTATTGAAAAAGAGATAATATAGAGACAAATACGGGTTCTTACTAAGTATTAAGGAAGGGTATTTTGGGTAATTGAGTTGTGGTAGTCTTTTGAAAGATTAATTTATTTGACGTTGCAAGAGGACGAGGGCTTCAAGTTGGAAAGTTTGTTTGTTTGTGGGGATATTTTAAAGCAAACACTATTATTCCGGAAACGCCCCTGTCCTTTAATGGAAATAACGAAATTGCCACTACGAGTAAGACTCAGCCGCCTAGAGCGTGTGAAGTTACGAATTTAACCTTACCCCTTCACGGGTTGATTCTGATCGAATCATTCTCGAAAATGACCCCACAATAATACAAAAATTCTTCTGTTCACGTGTGTTCCGGGTAATTTCCGATGGGTCACACCCCGAGGGTAACTTTGGAATTTCAATTTAAATTTAGGGCTCTTTTGTAATTTCCTAAACTTCAAATATGCTTAGAAGTGGCGTGTGGTAATTGGTCTCCCTAATTTCTTTCTTTCTTTAGTTTTTTAAGAATGATATATATATATATGTTATAGTCTATTGACATTATAAAACTTTATAAACCGTTGGTGAAACTAAATTGAATTGAACACGAGTAAATATAATACTATCAAAATTGTCACCCAAAGTGAGAGGTACAGAACTGTTGCAAAAACGAATGGGTATTAATTCAATTCCAATTTAGTGTCTGAGTTGTTTCACGTCATTTAGTGACTCATTTGTTTAATAATAATTAACGAAAGAAAATATTTCAAGTGGGGGATTTCACAAAGAAAAGTCATGAAGCATGCATAGGTTGGTTACTCTAGTTACTTGCATTACTTGATCATGGATTTGGGTCAAGTTATCAATTCATTTTTCATTACCCTTTTAAATGTTTCTTCTTCTTCTTCTTTTCTTAACGATTTTTGTTTAATATTATATTTCATTTAAGCTAATTGGCTATATATGAAAAAATAGATGTAATTTTTTCAACATTATATCGTTAGTTGTAAATGTTATTATTAATTGGAGAAAGTCAAGATTCACAAGTGATGATATATATATGATTCAAAACTTGATCGTCATGAATCAACGCAACCAATTGAATTTTGTTAGTACAGCGAAAAGAATTTGATTTTTAAATGTGTAAGAAAAAAATATTAAAAAATTAAAATTTATTTAAATATTTTTATATTTCGAAATATTAATTTCTAGCTATCAATGCAAAATAGTACCGTTATTTAAAAAGAAAAAATTAAAAGCCTTAATCATAGCCACCTTTAACGATATATACGTTTTTAATTTGATCTTTTCTTTTTGGGTTGGCAAATCGGAGCGTTTTCGTTTGATTATTTAATCTATAATTTATCAAATAAATCGAGTATTGTCAATTAGTCATTGTCATAATTTTTTTAAAAAGCAAGACGTAAGGGATATTTCGTTTTCAGTTAATTTAATAATGATGACAATAATATTTTTTTTTTATCTTTTTTCAAGTCAAAGTGTTTCTTAAGAAAAAAAAAAGTTAAACATCATCGGTAAATAATTAGACTTTTTAAAAATATGCTAATAGAAATTTAATTTTCTAATAATACATATAAAGAAAACTTTAATGAGAGATATAAAGTTGAGTTCCGTAATTTCTGCATTTCAAAATTAATTATCTCTAATAATCAATTAAAAAATGTTTTTTTATTAAAATTAAATTAAATTATATTTATATAACGATTATATCACATTATGATATTGATTAATATTCTTTCACATTGTTGTATATACATTATCGAAGTTATACGAAAAATAGTCTAAAATTTATGTACACATAAGGATAAAAATGATTTTGAGTCAAATGAGTTCAACTCAATAATATTTGACTTAGCTTTAAATTTAATTTGAGTTTCATATGAATATGTATTAGGAAAAATCTAAGTTAAAGATTAAGTAATTAAATAGTATATAAGTAGAAAGCAATTTTCACTTTACAAGTTGATTTTGTAAGGTTGAATTAGGCTTAAATTCACTATTCTAAGAAAATATTTTTTCAATTCAAATTTAACTTGATTTAAGCTGGTTAATAATTCGTTAACTTAAATTATGAACTAAGAGTCAAATATTTTTAATCTAACATAACTTACTTTATTAATTTTGTAAAGTTACAGTTATAATTCTAAAAAATATAATATAATCAAAGTTTATATAAATAAACAAAAAATATTTCAAATTCTATAAAATGAAATAAAAATTCAGTTGTTAATTATAAGATTCTAAAGTATTTAGTTTCTTTTTTAATGATTATTGACTTATAATTAAATTTAAAAAGTTCTTTCAGATTTTAATAAGTTAAAATTAATTAAATAAAAAATTAATTATATATATTTATATCTCAAATTAATTCATGTATCAAATAAAGTTTAGTTCATTCTTATTTATTAAATTCAAACTAAATATTTGAATTACTTTTAAGTTAATTAGATTTATTGTGACCCATATATACACATGAAAATTAACACTTTTACATTATCGTATAATTATTTTCAATCAACGAAATTAAAGTTAATTAAAAAAAAGGAATTAAAATTGTGAGGTGTAAGGAGAGGAAAAAGTGTGGTCCCATGAAAGAGAGTATTAAATTGATTTATAGGAAGTGTTAAGTGATAAGTGAGTAAATATGTATTGATGGGACTTTGGAACTGCTATTAATATTATGATGATCACGTACGCCTTTTTGGTACATGATGAACACTTATTGGCTCCTGCTTTTGTGTCTATCTTCACTTCTCTCTTTGAAAATGACAATTTTTAACAAATAAATAAAATACCACTTTCAATTTCAATTAACCAAAGAAAGTGACTATTCCATCTAACGTCCTGTCTTCCGTCCTTTACGTTCTTTTTTCATATGCCTGTCCTGCCACTACAAATTCATCATTACTCTTTTTTCAAACTGTTATAATTTAATTCTCATACTTCTTTTTTTTTACATTTCTAATTAATTAAAAATATATAATAAATATAACTTCTAATATACTCATTCAAAATAACAATTTTATCATATAATTACACATATGACACTATCAATGATTTTATTTTAATATTTATGTATTGTGTTAATAAATAATTTTATTAATTCATCAAATAAATAAATAATTTTATTAATATATATTATTCATATATTGTGTTTACCAATATAACGTATTATACTGTTAGTTTAAACTTGTATGATATATATTGTTGACATATATTTTTTAATATAATGTAATGTAATATATTCCTTATTTAAATGTAATGACCAGTTAATTACTATACTTAAAGGTCTCACTACTAACAACGAAAAAAATAAACATAACTACATAAAGTTCATATATTTAGAATACCTAGATATAAATGTCATAATATATATATATATATATATATAT